TCGACAGCTGGTCAAGAGGAATCCACCGTCGTCTTCTGGTGGAACCGACCTTCGAATCTCTTCACCAAACGCACTTCCACTCGAAGTGGAAGTAATCTCACCAACCTGCGCTATTGCCCTGCCTTCAGGCCGGTTCTTGAGGGTCAATTGTGATGTTGTAAATCCACTCTCGACTTGAGTATGCGTCGAGTAGGTAGCATATATTCGCAGATGTCGTCGTCATGGCGCTAATGTGGGGGAAGGCCAGATTGTGAAAGGCCCACCCTTAATTTGTGCTGCCGGACGAGAACAGCTGAACGATGTCCATTCTGAGCCTCACCAAAGGACGCATAACACGTCGGGCCGTCTTTGTTCTGAGTCTTCGCCATGCGGTAGCAAAAGTTGTCTCTCCACCAGTTGTCACCTGTACACACATTTTCGCGTCAAAACGAGCCTGCAAGCACCGGTTGTGAAGGCAAGAGGCCAGCAATTGTCACAGTCACCTGACCGGAGGCAACGGGGATTGGAGTGGGCAGATGAATGTGGCCTTAAATCTCTTTGTCACGCTATTTTTGCGATGGGCAATCTTGACAGGCATACACTTCACAGTGGCTGGTGGCCCTTCGCCTTCCCATTGGCTTGGTTCATGCTGCACGTTGATTGGTTCACCTGTCTGCCTTCTTATTGGCTCACGGAATACGGATCGATGCCTACCATATAGTCATCACAAAGCTCAGTCATTTCCACTATCAAAGCTTTTTCCTCTGCCCATCCTGATCTCTTAATGCGGCCATGACCTGAACAGAGCCTGCCTCAAGTGTACTTAAGTTGGCCTAACTATTACTCAACTAATCTGTCCCCTACCAGACCGTACACAACTTTGCAAAACTGTTCGAGACGTTGCCCCGATACGCGGTGGAGCTTAATGGCGTTAGTAAATCCTATCGAGTTGGGCGCAAAAATGAGATGAAATTAACTGTTTTGTGCTTGTTGCTGTGACTCTGCCGTTCAGGAAATTAGGCCTCCATCCGGACTCGGAATGCTGTTTGGTGGTGAGCAAATTCATCTGCTTGCTTAATTACTATACTATTATATGCTTGTATTACATTATTTTATATGCATGTGCGTATACATGGCTTAGTAACTAAATACGCATTCAACCTGTT